TGCAATTGTGTTTTCTTATTTTAAATAGTAAATTGTCTTGTTCCATTGGCAAAATGTCTCTTTTACCTCCTCAATTCAAGAACAAATGCACTTATTTTAAGAAAAAATTACTTATCTAGATTTAGATTTTTTGCAGTGTATTGACCAAACTGCATTTTGAACATTTAAACTCAGGAGTTTGATGCTTTCTTTAAAGAGTTTACATCAGAATAGGCTCCTTTAATCATTAAATATGGCATTATTCTCCTTATATTATGACTTTGATTTAATAATGTTAAAATTTTATTCTTGTTATTCTACAATTTGAATGTCATATTGGTACGATTTTATGTAGGCAACGTTACAACTTTAATCCAATATTTCAACTTTATCTTCTTTAGTACGGCTGTAATGCTCTGTCCTACTATCTCAGTTGTTAATTAGTAACTTTAAGCAGCCTTTTCCTGTAGAGGATCAATAACTTTATGGATGTTCTGCTCGTTTAATGACGAGTGGCTGTGGTGTGACGCGTTTGCTTTGTCATCCGGATGTAAGGTCTGTTCTGGTCCCCATAAGGCGCCCCTCACCCGTGAAACACCCAGGAGTCAGACTCGTCTGCCGGGCTGACGTAGTTCTCCGGCAGAAGTCCAGACAGGCCGGTGGCCAGGGACGTCCCGTACACCCAGCCCTCGCTGGTGCTGTTCTGATCCATGGAAGACATGAAGATATAATCCCCAGGAGTGAGCTCTAGTTCGTCATCGTTCTGTGGCATGTAGGGGTACATGACTTTCACCGTCTGCATTCAAAGGGCATGTTGGTTAAAGTTCACATGGAGATGAAATAAATCTCTGGGAGATTTTTATAAGCATGATGGAAAACCGACTGGGTGTATAGTTACCTCATGGTTAGCAAACCGGATGTCCCTGGAAAAAAGTACGGCCAGCCAATCACAGCCCAGCTTCACCTCGATGCCCTTGGCCAGCTTCTCCAGGGAGGGGAGGTGATCACTGGAGAAGTTGTACGCCAGCGTTAGATGGAGCTGCTTCTTGTGAGGCTCCACTTTGACCTCTGGAGGAGCGAGAGGATTGTACGATCATAGAACTTATTTCAGAGCCCAGCACACATCGGATGGCGGCCATCTTTAACCGAGCCACCCAACCATCAAAGGCTGACGGGAATAATAAAGCAGACTGTGTTTTACCTGTTTTCCTTACAGCCTCTGTGGCGAAGTCAGCTGCAAACTGCCTGAGGACATCAGCCACCTGCTCCTCCACAAACAGCCCTATGAAGTTGGAGGATGTGTAGAGCTCCAGAGGCAGTGGGTTGGGGAACCGACCCCTCCACTGCTGCACGGTGGTCTGCAGGGCCTCACAGAGAGCCTCCACCTTTGAGTCAGCACACTGGACAGAGGAGAAGAGTCAGAAGCTTGGTCCCGAGGAGGCGTGACACCGTCCTGGCTCAGAGAACAGGGCTCACCATGAAGAACTGACACAGAGTGATGTGTGGGAAGATGTTGTGGGCTTTGTTCTTGCCGCAGGTGAGCCGACTCTGCTGCCAGAAATGGGAGAGCTGGTTCTGGAGCGGCCCGCTGGGTCGCAGGTAGAGGACGAACTCCCTGGGCAGAGGATCGTCCAGGAACGGGTCGTCCACATGGGAGAAAAGCCTGGGAGGAGAAATGAAATTTATTTACTTTGTTTTTTTCTCTCATTTACACTTTTCAGATCATCAGACAAAGATCAGAGCTGACCTCATTAACATGAAGAATTGGTTTCAGTGATGCAGCCCTCATTATCTGGTTCCCTAGCTAAACCCGAACCTAATCTGCCCTACAGTACCTGCAGAACCAGAGCCAGACTGATCCAGTTTCACAGTTTCCAGCCTCTCAGCAGCTATTCTGCTCAACTCCTTATCTTCAAACTGCTCCAATGTGTCATTCTTGGTTGTTTCTAGCTGTGTTTTGACTCTTTATCCTGATGAAGATCTGTGATTGAGACCAAGCTTTCTGACACTGCAGCACATTGCTCCATAGAATCTCTGATAGTCTGAAGACTTCATTGGACCCTTCAGACACACTGTGCCAGATGAAGCAAAGCAGCCCAGAGCATAACAAAGCCTCCTCCATGTCTCATAGTAGAGATAGTGTTCTTTTCTTCATATGCTTCATTTTTTTCCATCTTTGAACACAGAGTTGATTTGCCGTGAATAAAAGTTCAATTTTTGTCTCATCTGTGACGTTCTCCAAGAAGCTTTGTGGCTTCTTGTCAACATGTAGGGTCCAACGGCATCCTCCTTGGTCGTCTCTCATTAAGTCCACTTTGGCTTAATTAACATCAGATGGTGTGATCTGACACTGATCCTCCTTGAGCTTGAAGTTCACCTTCAATCTCTTTAGGAGTTTTTCTTGGCTCTTTTGTCACCATTCCTTTTTTCCGTCTCTTTGGTTTGTCATCAGTTTTTGTCCTGTGGCTACATCCAAGGAGATTGACTAATGAATAATATGTTCAGCTGTAGTCACAGGAACATCAAGGTGCTTGGAGGTGGCTTTATGAACTTTACCTTTAACATACTGGTCTATAATTGTATTTCTAATCTCTTGAGACAACTCTTTTCCTTGCTCCTTCTGGTCCATGTTGAGTGTGGTAAACACCATGTCACCATTCAGCACAGGTAGCCCTATATATAGGGGTCTTTCTGCATGGAGTTAGCATATTCTCCCTGAGCATGCGTGGGTTCTCTCCGGGTAGTCTAGCTTCTCTAAATTCTCCTTAGGTGTGAGTGTGTGAATGGTTATTTGTCCTGTTTGTCTCTGTGTTACCCTGTAATGTTGTACCCCCCCTCTCGCCCCTAGACAGCTGGAGATAGGCACCAGCACCTCTCGCGACCCCACTCGGGATAAAGTGTGTCGGCTGGATGGATGGGTGTATATATGAAGACCTGCACACTACTTGGATGTAAAATAGTTGTTAATTGTTATATGATGTAGCTCTTCCATATTTTTTGGACCACATATAAAAACAGTAATGACAGGACTTCAGTCTGTGTCTTTCAGCTCATTATCATAATTCATCTATAAAACAATGTTTTACAGATGATCCTGTAAAATGTATCATCAATAACTGAGGGGTTTTAATATCTTTCACTCTCAGATCACTTAAACTGACGGAAAGTGTTGGAATATAAAATTATCTTAAATCTTTCATTTGGACATTTATTATTCTACCACTGTAGGATGTACTGTAGCCCTGGATGACAGCAGAGGGCGCTGTTACACACGGTCCTGTCCAACCTTGGTTAGTGGCAGGTAGGTTTAGTGTTGTTTGGACATTCAGTGGTTGGGCTAAAGATGGATGGATGTTTAAACTCACCAGTCACAAGCTGCCTGGACACTCCGGCCTCCAGTCGACACCAAAGACTTCAGTCTGGAAGAGATGTGGAACAAACAGCGTGAATATGACAGGTTTCAGGTGGCTGTAAAACAAGCATTCATGCTTTTGGGATTGTGAGCAGCTTCCTGGGAACAAAAGCAGAGCTAAAAAGAGAAGTTGGGTGTTTGTGTGGAAAGTGTGACCTTGGAAACTGATCTAGAAGAGGGCTGTGGGAGGGGGGGGCATGCTGGAAATGCTTCAAAGCTCTTCTCTGGGGAGAGATGCTGTGAGTCGGGTAGAAACGGTACGAGGGGAAAAAGCAAGCTGGTGAATTATTCAGCTTTTCCTGCTTGAATTACTGGAGTGAAACTAACAGAAATTCAGCTCCTGTTTGAGTCAGAGAGGCTTATATTCAACAGACAGTCTGCAGCAGGATACGGACGCAGCTGATGACCTGTTTAAGCCCGACAATCTCACTCTAACATCAAACACCCTAAAAAATCCAAATAGTCCATATTTTAAAGACAGTGCCTTGTTTTCACACTGGATTCCTCATCCTATCACAACCTGCAACTGGTTAAATCTAATCCTACAAAATGTGTAGAAACATCTTCCGCTGCAGCTAAAGCTCCACATTTTAGGAGTTTTGGGAACCTTTTAATCAGCTTTGGACGTTAAGAGAAGACTTCTTTCCCTAACCTAAACGTCTCGTGTCCTTTCTAACCTCCAACCTGGTTTTCTTTAGCCAGATTCCTCTTCTCATCAACTCAGACCAGATTTCCTTTGCCCGCATCATGCTGGCGCCGCCACCATGTTTCATTCAGAAATTTCTGGAGCTTCTTCTGATATTTGGGTTCATTGAGGTTTTTATTTAGATGCATCAGAGTTAAAGGGGCTGAATAGAAATGTTCAGACTTGCAAAAGATTTTTTTAACTTTTCTATTCTTAAGCTGTAATAATGTTAATAAAAAGGGGGGTGGGGAAGTTTAACATAATCAGAATTTTTCATATAAATGTATTGATGACACTTATTTTACACCAGATTTGAGAATCACAGTGTAAACCCATGTTAATGAGAAATGCAGCCTTGGATTCGGCCGCAGTTTCCTTTAAGATGTTGTTCACTGAGTGAATCCTTCATCTTCTTCTGTGGAGGCGGTTCATTTCATCAACACACATGCTAATGCTAGCAGTTTCCTAACTAGAAAGGTTGGACTGCCTTCCTTGAGGATGTTGGAGTTTGCTGATGAGGATGTTTTTCTCTCTGTCAGTCAAATAAAAACACAATTAATGTAAGGAATTACGGAAGAGGATTAGGGCCACTGAAAAAAAAAAAAAAGTAAACTGATTTTTAAATTTTATTTCAGTTTAACATGGGAAAAAGTCAGAATTCTGAGATTAAAGTCAGAATTCTGACTTTAATCTCAGAATTCTGACTTTTTTCTGAATTCTGACAACAAAAAAAGTCAGAATTCTGACATTAAAGTCAGAATTCTATACTAAAATAAAATTAAAAAAATTCAGTTAACTTTTTTTTTTTTTTTTCAGTGGCCCTAATCCTCTTCCGTAAGGAATGACAAGATGGCCACTTTCAGAGCATAAAGACCAGAATCTGGCCCCATTCATCTGTTTCCTCCAGCCCTTTATAGGGCACTCAGGGAAATACTTTGAAAATCAAAATTTCAAGCTAATAGTGTTGTTGGAATAAGAACAAGCCCTTTTGACCTTTTGTAACATAAAAAAAAATCAGATTTTGGTGGAAAAAAGGGTATAGTGGGGAGCACTGCTGCCATGCCGCAAGAAGGTTCCGGGTTCATTGTGTGTGCGTGAATGGATGGACTGGCGACATGTCCAGGGTGGACCCCGCCTCTCACCCGTAGACAGCTGGAGATGGGAACCAGCAGCTCGGACTGGGAACAATTTTTAGCCCTGGCATTTTCCATGAAAAACCGGCCCACTTGTGGACCCCCCCAAATAAAAAAATATAAGCACAGTCAAACGTGTGCATCTCAAATGTCAAACACAATACAAATACACATTGAGGATTAACCGATCTATCTTCAAGCATCACACGACAACCATCACCAAGACTTCTATAATGCAGTTTTACTGGCTTTGGTTATTAACACGGACGCCACAGTGACCGCTGCTGCTGAGTAACGTCCACATTTACCACATCAGCAGGGTCACCAGATGTCACTGACTCACGTTTTCCAGCCCAAAAATATTTCATAAACCTCCTGCATATACGAAATCTGAACCAAAGTCTATCGATCTCTTAGGCCATAAATCTAGAGAAAAACATTTTTTACCCATAGACGGCCGTCCTACACGGCCAGATTGGGGAACATCCCAACCTACCAACGATGCACATAAGACAGGTAACTTTAGCCTTTAGATGCAAAACCCCATCATGCACCGCAACATATTTTTGCAAAAAATTCGAAACAAATTCGCCAAATACAAGAGGAACATCGTAGTTTGGTTTAAAGAAAGCATTTTAGTTTTATTATAATTTAGTTTGTTGCAAGGATTTTACAGTTTGAAGAAATAGAAAATTACATCATACACCGTCACAAGGATGTGCATGACAAGGAAGGGCTATATATACTGCATGCATCATTTAGGGAGTTAACATTGTGTTACTTCTTGAGCTCCTTGAGGTATTTACTGTCACAGGTAGGAGCTTCGGACGGAGAAATTAGGACTGGCTCAACAGGCAAATGGCCAGTATCACAGATTACCAGTCCGATCCTGGGCACCAGCAACCCTTGTGACCCCAGCAGGGATAAAGTGTAACAGAAAATGAGTGGATGGATGGATGGATGGTGGCAAAAATGTATTTCAATGTAATAACAAAAAAATGGTAACTTGCCCTAATATATTAAGAAAAATAGCTTAATAGGTGCTTTGATAATAAATCAATGAAAGCACTCACAGGGTGAAAGAAACACACTTAGTTTATTAAGATTTTAACTTTACTTTTAAGCTTTTTCATTTAGCTCTTTACCTTTTTTCATAAACTGTTAACTTTGTTTTCATCTTAATTTGCAGTAGGTAATACGTATATAATTTAGAGGCTCATCTATATGGTCAAATGTCAAAATAACATTCACAGGCTGCTTCTAGACCTGACTGAAGGATGGGGGGGTGGGGGGGGCCTCTGACTCCTCTCCCTATAAATGGTTAACCAAACTGCTATCAATCATTTTATTCCATTGATTGTTAGTGAAGCAGAAACACTGGGTGGTATTCAGGAACCGTCAGCATCCTGACTAACACTGACGGCCCCGTGAATAATCTCATCAGTTTTCCTTCCTTCTTTACGTTTTATTTTTAAGCCTCACTACGTTCACATCAAACTATCAGGAGAGGAGATCATTGTTCCCCCTCCCACCATGTGGTCTGAGTGTGTCAGTGAGTAAGACTGCATTCATGTCACAGGTGGAATTGAGAATCCTGAGTGTGGGCAGAGGAATCCAGATCACGAGTCGGAGGAAGGGCCGGTTCCTCATACGACCCTGGGAGCGGCGCAGAGGGTGAAACCCGGTGCAACCTTTAACAGCAATGACCTGTACAGGAACGTACTTATTTACTTTCTACTATCAGTGTCATTATCTAAGGTTTTTAGGTGGCCTACCCCCCCGAGGAGCGAGTGATGCATCAACAGACGCTTAGAGAGGCGATCAAGGAGTGATTTACTCATCCTCTTTAGGCCTGGCGGCCAAGAGAACGAGCAGCAGAACGAATTAATCATTTGTGAGCTGCCTAATTAAGCAGAGCCGAGGGGAGGAGGACGGGCTGACGGTGCTCTCAGGAGGAAAGCAGCATCCTCAGCTCAGCCAGTGGAGAGGAGGTGTTTGCTGTTCGTTAGTGAGTCTTCTGGTTGAAGGTTTCCTTACTTCAGATCTCTGAGGGTGGATGGAAATGTTCTTTGATGTAAAACCAAAGAAACTCCTTCTGACGTTTTACATTTAATCAGTGAATTAAAGAATAAAAGAGTAAATGAACTCCCACAGTGGGCATTCTTCACCTTTAAGAGTCTAAATGTTGACCTGATTTAGGTGAGATGGAAACAAATGGAGAAAAATCTAGAACCAGGGGGAGATTTACTATGAGGCAATACTAGGAAGTTACCTAGGGCC